CAGGAAAGGGGTCGATGTAGACAATGTTGCGAGCAAGTATAAAATCATGAACGGAGTTGACAATATCGGCGATATCGTCACTACATCGTGCACTTGACATACCTCGAATAGCGATAAGGTGTATCAGAACCATTGATACAAAATAATTGCATTAGAATTATGAATGGATTCCAATTTACCACTCGGAACCGTTGGTTCAAGAAACAGAAAAATAATAGAGTAGTAGTCATATTTTCTAAATTTATTTGGATCAACAGCAGTTTAGATCCAGATATCAAAATGTGTTGGCAAATCAAAATTCTCTGCCGGACTATAAAAGAAGTATTTCTAGAATTTTTCATAACTTCGTCAAAATTTCGCATAAATATGAACTTTCAAGGACAGAAGAACGACAATTGATGCCAAGTCAGTAATTGCAAGTTTAAATGAATCATGTGCATACAAATATGTTGACGAGTTCAATTATAGGTTTTTATCCGTAATAATGAGTTAACTTATATTTTTTATTCCAGAAAGAAATTATTCCTATTATTATACTTTTCATTGATAAACCAAATGACATGGGTCGAAAAGTCATCTGACCTATAGTTGCTAACTTCTACGTCATTTGGTCTCTGGTTGAGAGCTATCTCATTGCCGATCATACAACATCTTCTTATTTCTATATTGACTGAACAACAATTCAGATTTTTTAAGAAAAATAGATATTTTTTAGGGTATCAACCTTATAATTAAGAAATAATTCATGTAAGCCATAGATTTGTTGGAAATTTTTACATGACATGGGCCGTTATATTCGAATTATTTATCGAGCTTTAGTGAGTCTGTGCTAAATATAGATAACTCGAGAATTTCATCACGCTGTTGTTAACAAAGAAAAAGGCAGCACCTCATATTAGAATCACCCTTTAAATATGGTATAAATCCTAGTATTACCCTTTAAAATGTAGCCTTACCACTTATTTTTAATTTTTGGCAATGTATTGGCATAAACAGTTTTGTAATTCCATAATATGGGTAGATTTATCTGATTTTCAATTGTTTTTCTGTTATCTGAAAATATGGCTTACAGAAAAATTAGGTAACACTAGAAAAGCGCTTCGGACACACCAAATTTATAGAGTGTTATTTTAGACTCTTGTCCTCCAAATTTGCATTCGGGCGCCAAATGTTTTACATTTAATGCAAAGCAGCCAGAATAGTCTCTCATTGATAATTTTTTCATTGATATTTGAATATAAGTCAAGGCCTTACCAAAAAGATATTTTCCGCAAGATGTTAATGTGGGTTAAATATCGTTTCGAGGGAGGCATTATCTCATTTTTAAGGCGTCTGAAGACTATATATGCCAGATTTGTCTATCCCGACATGTTTAAGGGAAAACAATACAGTAAAGATACCTCGTTGATTTTTTTTCTTGAAATTTTAACTGAATTTCGATATCTATACACTTCTGAAATATTTGAAGAAAAATATATCTTTATGGCTAATTTTAGGGAGCTTTTGTTAGAAACTTTCATATATTTAAAGAAAAAAACCTGAAATTTCATATTTATAGACTTTTAAGGAAAGTGGCTTACTTTTGAACGAAGAGTCATGATTTAATCTGTTTTTCGTCAAATATTTCTTTGATTCATGGCATTCAGATATGATGTAACAAGTTACGGTCGATAAACTTGTCCTGAGTTTTTATTGTTATCAATGAAATAAAAATGTTGATAATATTATAGTTTCTACACATGAGTGTAATAACAAATCTACCGTTAACTTTTTTTTTAAATTTTGGCACAGTTTTTTTAAAGCAGTATTCGATTGATTGAAGAAACAATATGGGTCGATGTGGTTGTTTTTTTTTTTTCTCCATAAAAGCAATAAACCTTGATTTGTTTTAATGCTGAACATCCGTTTGCCGTAATGATTATGGCGCTAAATAGCAAATTCATATTCAAATTCAAATTTTTATTGTCATTTAACTAAATCAAAATAAGATTATTACAAATATAACACCAAAATTTACAATTAATGCATATAGTATATAAATTACAAAAATTACAGATCAAGTAAATATGTGAAGAGTACCCTGTCCTTAGTTCTTATGACATTTTCATATAGAAAGCAAGTTTCTTTTACTTGGGATGGTTAACATGTTGTTTTTTTTTGTTTTTGTTTTTTGTTTTTTGGTTTTGCAGTCAACCTTACACTTTTACACTGACAACAGCTATTAAAGGTGAGACACAGGGTTAAGCGGTACCCTTTACAAATTGTTTTTTCTATGGTATGTACTTATTACAAAGAGGTTACAGTATGGAAATTATGGGTATAATGTATCTTTTTGATTAATGAAAAATACCTGTATAATTGATTTCAGTGGATGTTGGATAGGTAATTTCGTAAATTACGTTGAAAAATGTAAGGAAACATAAACTATTAATCTGATAAAAAGTATTAATTTGCATTTTTGTCTGTATTAGTATACCTGAATAAATCCCAAATCTCTGAAAGGACAGTTTGTACACAAATTTAGTTGTTTATAGTAGACTCATTTAATTGTCATAGTTTGAATAAAATTGAGAATGGAAACGGGGAATGTGTCAAAGAGACAACAACCCGACCATAGAGAAGAAAACAGCCCAAGGCCAACAATGGGTCTTCAACACAGCGAAAAAATCCAGCACCCGGAAGCGGGCTTCAGCTGGCCCCTTAACCATAATGTATACTAGTTAAGCGAAAATGGACACTTAACTCCGAAACATATAAATGAACCAAAATTAAAATAACCATTCATGACTAACAAAGGCTAGATTACTTGTTGTGTTACCCGACACTCCGCAAAGGTTTGACAGGACTACATATATTGTACATTCATTTTTTTAATTCGATTCCGTACTTGGAAAAGAAGCAGAAGGATATGAGTAAATGGGTTAGTTTCTTATCGTAAAGAAATTGTCGGGAAAACCTTTTTTCGTTTCCTGCATGTTTTAGTGTAATGCTTTGTTCATTGAAACTATCAAACAGGTCAAGTGGTATATCATCTTGCTTCAGAGTCTTTTTATTTTTACATTCTAAAGATAAATGAAATGATTCTTCGTTGCAAACTTTACGTACTGTTGATTAACTCATCTTCGTTGATTGAAGATATAAAGTATATCTGTTGTTACTTTATTTCGTTGTTTTATCAAATTCTGTATGCATATGATACCAGCTTATAGTCTAACTTTATTTTGTTGAAAATTTTCTTTTTGGGTCGGGCAACTTTTTCAATTTTTTGTAACTGTTCGTCTTCGGTAATTCCTTTGACCTTCCTGTCCTTCGGAGAATATCTACAACTTCTTGTGATACCATATCGTTCATGATCAGAAATATCAAATGTATATAAGTATTCCAATTTTTCCAAATTTTGTGATAAAGCTACTATAAACTAATTTCAAGAGCCATTTGAAACATTAATATAGAACGATATTATTCAGAGAATGGTTATTTAGTTTTTTACATTATGAAAATATTCATGTTTGTTAAAATTTTTATGACATTTAAATGTTGATGAGCAATTTGCCGTTTGCAGTTTTGTAAAAAAACGATGAATTTTTAAACATTGATTTTTTTTCTCAGATATGTTCAAAATGTTGAACCATTTTGACAATTTTGACAGACAAATTTCTTTGATCTGACTTATTCCGCCTATAAATGATACAACGGTGTTGCACATATTTTGAAGATTAATTTCATTCACGATCCCGTACCAAATCTTTCACGATCCAATTGCAATACTTAATCACCGCTACGTTTCTTTCACGATAATTATTTTCGATATAGCGAATGACAGCCGTGTTAAAGGTAGACAACGAAACATGGCTCGGGCTTATTGTCGAAGTTTTACTTCCTTAATTCTATTAGATTTTATTTTTCGACCTATATGCATAAAATATTCGAAATTTACTTTTAAGCGAACAATAGTTTGTATGTTGCGCTGTTACACCATTGTTCCAGGTTAAGAGAGGACTGAGCGCTTATAAAACATGTATAACCCAGTCACATTCTGTATGTACCTGTCCCAAGTCAGAAGCCTGTAATTCAGTGGTTGTCTTTTGCTGCTGTGTGTCATATTTGTTTTTCGTTTATTGTTTTATCACAAATCAGGCCGTTGGTTTTCTCGTTTAAATTGTGTTACATTTTGTCATGTCGGAGCCTTAGGGTTTTGCTCATTGGTGAATCATAGTGCTGATTGACTACATATAGTTGCTTTCATCCACGTCATTAGAACTCTGATGAATAGTTGTTTCATTCACAAACATATCACATCTCCTTATCTTTATATAACAACAATCAATCAAAACATATTCAATGTATCATAAATTATGTTCATATATAATTGTTTATGAAATATATAATTAATCAAATAAATATTCAACTGTTAAATTAAAAAAAAATGAAATATTATTGTTGTATATTTTACTATTATAAATCTGTATTGTCTCAAAATATTCGGCAAAAGAACCCTCCTTCTGAATTATATTTCTCTATTTTCTTGATGTGCACATGTATGTCTCAGTTGATTGATTGATTGGTGTTTGCTAATGTTGTAAGCCTATCTTGTTTCATAGAAGGGTCTGTCAAAGGACACATGGATCTAATTTATTTTTCTTTTGAATTTTTGTCATTTAAAAATTTATTACAGATTCTAAAATATTGATATAATACCTCTGTATTATTCCTTTTAACTTTTATGACTAACTGACGAAAAGGATGTTAATTCAACAATTTCCCATTAAATTGGTGACCCATTTAGATACTTGTATAAAAATCATCATCTTATCACGTCATAAGTTAAGTGCGATGTCTCATGCACTTGTACCCATATCCTTTCTTTTTACTTTTCGATTTTGTAATTAATTTCTTGACAATTTATATATTCTTGGAAAGCCTTTTGGTCACTAACTGTCTTACTAACAGTTCTACAGTACAGCTTATTCTATGAAGACATCAAGAAACTAAAGACAGCGTAATCAAGAAACTTTTATTGCTATTCAGGTCGAAGATACATTTATATCACATTACACTGATATTAAGTTATATCTGTAAGTTGTATTTTCTGAGTAATAATCGAATTCAAGGAGTGCTAATTTATTTCATCCAGTCTACAAATTTCATGTCCCATCACCTTCCATACTTTGGTATGATACAATTTGCAATAGTTACAAATATTTTTAGCGCAATCTCTGCATCTGTAAACTGCTCCGTTGTTATCAACACACAATTCGCAATACTGTATTGAATTGACACTGGATTCAAAAGTTTTTTGTGTGAATTCTGGTTCGTGTAAAGCTTGTGTTTCACAGTTGTCGCTTGCCGATGATTCATCTATAATGAGTTAATTCAAGCTAAATTGCTATATATATATATATATACAATTTGTTTGACTAAGATTTGAAAGGTTATTTCAATAAATTGTCATTGAAATTAATACAATTCCAAAATTATCATTCAACTTTACATTTTTGCAACAAACTTCTCTAGATTTATTTGAAGATTAAAACACATTTAACAGATAAAACGAATGACAAAACAAGTCCGAAAATTGTCCATTAACGAGAAAACGGAATTATTCTGTATTTCTATCCACATTAACGAATAGTATGCACACTTACCTTTAGAAATAGTCATGTTCCTCGTTATTTAGTCAGATTGATTCTAAACTTTTACAATATTGCGTCGGTGTTAAAATAATCAGAAACAATTCAATATATTACATCGGTTCTTAATATAACTTGGAAATTTCAATCTGGAAATTTTGGAGGAAATTATTTTTTCATGGGCTCTAAAAATAGACGACACGTGGCTGGGTTGGACAAACAGTTTAGTTTCCTTTGGACCTATTGGTGTTAGTCAGACAGAGAGAAACAATAAAAGTTAATTCAGTGATTATAGGGTCCTTTTGACCGTCACTTGGAATCAGTAATGTTGCAATGATAAAAAGGTAAAACTACCGAAATAATTGTTTTCGAAAGTAAAAGTGTGCCTTTGTTAACGTTAAAACAATTCATTACAAGACGAAAACATCATGAATGAATATCCTTGGTGTTTGAGCATCGCACTTTATATATTATATCCTATTATGTAAAATCGAGACGTTATATTTTTAACTAATTTCAAATTTTATTGTATTTCGGATTCAATGATTACACATGAAAGTTTGGTTTTGGATACCATATTTTGAAATGATATTTTTTTTATCATTTTTTATTAACTATTATTATCATTCGTATTATTATTCTTCTTCTTCTTCTTCTTCTTTTTCTTCTTCTTATTATTATTATTATTATTATTAACTTTTTATTATTATTATTATTATTAACTTTTCAGAAATGTTCATTTATCATGGCAAGGAGAAATAGAATGTTGGAAAAAACAAACATCCTTCAATATTAACAGCAAAATAGTATATATATAAAGTCATCAATGAATCTGTCATTTGATGCACAACTTCAAGATACCAGAATTGTAAAAACGGATCAGGCGTGAATTAAAGCAGAGTCTCTAAAATGGAAAACGCTGCGAGATCCTTCTTTCTAATACTTAGATATATCGAAAACAATATACGATCTAAACGCGTTTGCTCTTCACCAGGGGAATGTACACAAGCAAATAGTATTCACTTCGGAGAAGTTTTGACTAATTTCTCACTGGTAACCTGTGGCTCTAGGAATATAAATTGTGGTATGTGTGTTGATCGTCTAAATGCTATCGGGTATTGTAAAGATTGTAAATTCTTTATAGATGGTTATTGTGCTGAATGTCACAAGAGAATAAAATCTTTCAGACACCATGATGTCATTACCTTCCAGGGTAAGAAAAACAACGAATTGAAAATTGAGAATTTCGCTCCTAAATTATTCTGTGAAATAATAGGACACAGTGACATTGAAATGACATCCTTTTGTTCACACTGTAAAGTTTTGGTTTGTCTCAAATGTAAAGAGAATCATGATATTGAAATTCATGATGTTGTTTTACTTGTTGATTTTTTCAAGTTAATAGACATTGTCCTTGATATAAAAAGCATAAGTAAAGAAATTATGATTCGTTTACCACAATGTGATGACACCCATGATGATATCATCCTTTTTACTGCAATCGTAAATTGGACTGATATGATCATAAAATTTCAAAAAGACTTTAGAACTGATGAATTTCCGCCTAAATTCCGACATATTTTGGACGATATATATCAGAATACATCAGTTACAGCAGCAACCTCTAATTCAAATATCATGACATGTAAAAGAGCCATTGAAGCAATGCTGTTGATCAAAAAGGATTTTGAAGAAATGCTGTATTCATCGTGTCAGAGTTTAGCACCAGGATGCCGCCGAAAAAACAAACATTTTCCTCAGAATAGGAGTGTCCAATTTGAAACTGGTAAATAATTGCTTAATATGGTTTTGAAATAAATTTAGTGATTGTATGTTGCGAGAAATAGATACAACAGAAAAACCATCGATAGAGTCGGGTCATGATCAACTTTCAGTCTAATACTATAATATATCGTTATCAAATTCGCCCAGTTTATTGTTTGCTAAATGATATATATATATAACGCCTTCTAAAATCTGATAAATATTGGACTATATTTTGTTTTTATTTTTGTTTCGACTGTAAGTTCGTTGTTGCGCTGTAAATTTTTCGAACGCATAATTTAAATTTTAAACACAATATGTTATATTCAAAACGCAGAGTGTTCCACATTGAACGCCAGCGTTAAAATATATAACACGTTGTGTTCAATCTTTTAACGCAGATTTTCAAGAAGAGTTCTGAATTGAACACTTGAGTGGTCAAATACTGTAACGGGGTTTGTAATATTATTTCATAGCTGTAGACGCACTCAGATAATATGATAAAGATGATTATTATCATAAATTAACGATAAATGGATGTTTAGCTGCATCCTCATAATCAAATTAGAGTTAAGAAAAAATAATTTTGAACCATATCACACGGGCGTATTTAGAATCTCGGTAATGATCGAAACTTTATGTGCTTCTTTTCCTGAGCTACCTTAATACTTTTGAATCACTTTTAATATATTTGCGTGAAATCTTGCAGAATGCAAGACACATAAAAGGTAGTCCGGCGACAGCGTTATCTATATATTTCAGAGTGTAGAAGAGCTGGTAGATACAAATATTGTGTACAGATGCCTAACGGTCTGAAGTTTCCGTCTGTCAAATGTCCGTTGTCCTTGATCTCATTTTCATGGTCCAATAAAAAAGAGGCGAAAATATCAAAGGGAATTTTAAACTCAAAAGTCGAAAACAAACTGACAATGCCAATAACTGCTTTCAAAATCTATATCATGATTTTTATACGACCGCAAATTTTTTTTTGCGTCGTATAATGCTATATAATGTCGTCGTCGGCGTCGTCGTCGTCGTCCGAAGACACATTTGGTTTCCGGACAATAACTTTAGTTTAAATGAGAGAGAAGGTTCAATACCACAAAAGGAAGGTTGGGATTGATTTTGGGTGTTATAGTACCAACAGTTTAGGAATTAGGGGCTAACAACAAGCATTTTTTTGTAGTGTCCGGACAATAATTTGTGTGTAAGTGTATGGATCTCTCTGAAATTGTACCACAAGGTTACATATCACAAAGAGGAGGCTTGGATTTAGTTTGGGGTAATTGCCCCAAACGTTCAGGAAATAGGGACAAAAAGGGGCCAAAAACAAGCATTTTTCTAGTTTCCAGACAATAACTTTAGTTTAAATGAATGGATCTCTATAAAATTTTACCAGAAGGTTCAATACCACAAAAGAAAGATAGGGATTGATTTTGGGGGTTATGGTACCAACAGTTTAGGAATTAGGGGCCTAAAACAAGCCAAAAACAAGCATTTTTGTAGTTTCCGGGCAATAATTTGTGTTTAAGTGTATGAACTTCTCTAAAAGTGTACTACAAGGTTCCATACCACAAAGGGAAGGCTGGGATTGAGTTTGGGGGTAATTACTCCAAACGGGGGGTTCAAAAAGTTGGGGGGATTTTTTTTTCGTAATTGTTTTTGGGGGTTTATTTTTTTTCTTTAAAATTTTTGAAATTTCAAATTTATGAAATCTTCAATTGCACAGTGTTGCGCAATAGCAAGAAATTTTCAATTGCACAGTATTGCGCAATAGAACAGTATTACCCAATAGCACAGTATTGCGCAATAGCAAGAAATCTTCATTTGCACAGTATTGCGCATTAGCACAGTATTGTGCAATATCACAGTTTTGCGCAATAGCACAGTATTGTGCAATATCACAGTATTGCGCAATAGCAAGAAATCTTCAACTGCACAGTATTGCCCAATAACACAGTATTGCGCAATAGCAAGAAATCTTGAACTGCACAGTATTGCGCAATAGCAAGAAATCTTCAATTGCACAGTTATAATTGCGCAATAGCAAAAAATCTTCAATTGCACAGTATTGCGCAACAACACAGTATTGCGCAATAGCAAGAAATCTTCAATTGCACAGTATTGGGCAATAGCACAATATTGCACAATAGCACATTATTGGGCAATAGCACAGCTTTGCGCAATATCACAGGATTGCGCTATAGCACAGTATTGGGCAATAGCAAGAAATCTTCAATTGGGCAGTATTGCGCAATAGCAAGAAATCTTCATTTGCACAGTATTGCGCGATAGCACAGTATTGGGCAATAGCACAGTATTGTGCAATAGCAAGAAATTTTCAATTAAAAATAAATACAAATCTTTAAACCAATTTTGATGGGGTTTAATTTAAAGTCTTTAATTTTGGGGGGTTCTTACCTGGTATTTCTATTTTGGATATTGGGCCCCATTTTTCAATTGGTCTACATTGAGGTCTAAAGCGTCCAAAATTAAACTTTGTTTGATTTAATCAAAAACTGAATTATTGCGGCTCTATGATATGCTGAATCTTATTGTGCATTTAGATTTTTATTTTGGGCCCTGTTTTCACATTAGTCCATATTAAGGTTTGAAGGGTCCAAAATTAAACTGTGTTTGATTTCAACTAAAATTAAATTTTTGGTGTTTTTTATGTGCTGAATATAACCATGTTGTTAGATTTTGGATACCAGACCATTCTAGGTAAATTAAATGTCCCATTTCAAATCTTTAAGATCTTTGACCACATTTATTTTGTGTCAGAAACCTATATCATGTCAAAAATTTGATCACAATCCAAATTCAGACAGTATCAAGCTTTAGTATTGTGTCCAAACTTGCCCCAACTGTTCAGGGTCAACCTCTGCGGTCGTATCAGGCGGCGCTCGGCGAAGAATTTTATTTCAGTTATTATGAAAAGTAGGACAGTTAAAATCTAGACTACATTTCATGGTTCAGAGTTCGATATTAGGTTTGTTTCTTATATACTATAATAGCTAATTTATATTCGTTTTATATAAAAGATAAGAAGATGCGGTATGATTGCCAATGAGACAACTCTCTACCAGAGACCAAATGACATAGACACGTAGAAGTTGACAACTACAGGTCACCATACGGCCTTCAAAAACGAGCAAAACCCATACTGCGTAGTAAGATATAAAAGGCCCAAAAATGACCAATGTAAAACAATTCAAACTAGAATGTTTGTGAGGTGTTTATGTTTAAAAGGTCGATCTGACTTTAGCCTCATGTTCATGGTTCATTCATAATGGGGGAGTGAGAGAAGGATTTCGGAAATAAATAGTTTGTCCTGGTAAGAACCTTGCCAAAGTAAGGATGAAAAGGGATATTCCTCCCAACAAAATATAGGAAATGATAGTGTTCAAAAGTAAAAAAGCGGGACTAGCAACATGTGAAAATGGATATTCTGTCCCCAAAAAATCTTCCTGTCTAAAATCCATATTTCTGCAAAAAATATTCATCAAAATAGTGGTTTAGTATGCTCAAATTCACTGTGACAAGTAATCTTACCAAGTATGAAAGTTTTCGCGAGATAGTATGAGGATCTATATTGAAAGACAATTGTCTGGGTTTCTCACTTTATTCTACAAATTAAATAAGTATATTTTTGTGTAAACATTAATTATAAAAAGAAAGGACATCAATTTGACTTTAAACGTTCGATCAAAATAAAAGTGAAGCATAGTTTGAACTGTTTGCATATTTCAGAACAGACAGATGCAATTTGTGGTGAAAGAGCAGCAAAATGTAGAAGAATTGACAATTTAAATAGAGACCTTCAGCAATCTAACGATCCGTATGTACTAGCAATCTTTATATGTTATAATATTTAAAAGTCATACGAAACTAGTTTCTGTAATTATAATGTTAATGATATTATTGAACCAATACATGCATATATAAACGAATAATCGACAAAAAAGGTTTCTTTGGTGATTGTTGATCGGAAACTTTGGCTGCTAATTAACTTTCGGATTGTTGTGCCGAAGTTTACCGATCATTATCTTGATAAACAATCAACACAGAATCATAGAGCATGAACGTGTATAATACGAGGGATGACATACCAATCATTATTTGCTTTTATTTTTTTTTTATCCGTGCGTTACCATTTGTAAATTAAACTTTGTCAAATCAGTTTTGAAATGATTTGGTGTAATACAATTTTCGTTCAGAATCGGTTGATATTATCTTTCTTCCACCTTTGTTTACTTTTTCTTCAATCACAGTTTTTTCCCTTCGAACTTTGCTGTGTGGTTTCCGAATTTCTAACGAGAGATGTCGTCGGTAAGTTCACTGCATACGGAAGAGCTGTCGGTGAAAAAAAGAAACGAGAAGATTATAATTCAATAAAGTAAACCTCTAAAGATATTTATACTATAATGGATTTTCTTTTTAAAAATATTAATTGATTGATTGTTCTTTGCTTAACAACGTCCAACAACCAGTCAATCAATCAATCTTTTAAAAGAAAATCTTTTATATGGTATTAAAACTTTTAAAAGAAAATCTATGTGCACGTGTTTTATAGTAAGTTAATTATAAAAGGACATGTTAACATAGTAAAACATAAGTTGCAAGATGCAATATGTTTTTTATTTTGAAGGGCCATTCCAGTCCGTCATAATAAAACAATATTACAATTTATTCTTTTAAAGTATTGATCTTCCGCCATTAGAATTACTCTCACACTCGACATAGCAAAATGACATCTACGCAAATAATATGGAACTGTAAGCCATGTATAGTTTGTCCATCTAAGCCGTTTCATTTCTATGTTGTGGTTTCCTTCCTTGGCACAGGAAAACAAAAGTTATTTCGGATTTTGAAAAAGTAGCCATTTTCACCATTACTTCATAAAAATGTATAGATACCGATAGTCAACGACAATGTTGCGCCGGAAATGATAAGGAAATATTTTGAATTTAATTACTAGTAAGTGAAATATGTACACAAGAACGCTACGGGATATTTGGTTAACAAGCATTTTTATGTTGTCCCCTCTTTTCAATGAAAAGCGCGTCAAACATAATATCTTTGGAATCATTTAAATTAAAACCCTTATTTTTAAATGCGCAAGAATATGAAGTAGCAATTTATATACCGCATACAGGGGAGGATCCAGGAATTTTGAAAAGGGGTGTAATGCCCGAATACGGAATATATACGGTATATACGGAGAAAAAAAAATTGGACGATTTTATGCCAAAAGAAATAAAAAAAAATCCCATCAAAAAGAGGGATGTACGCTTCCCTCCCCCGAATCCGACACTGGCATAGAAATGTACATTAAAATCATGTATATTTGTATGTGTTATAAAACTATTTATATGTATCAGGGATACTTTGTAAAACTGCAGTAGTGTTTTTACATAAAATTATCATAGTTTTGAAAAATTATACGATTTTTTTCGGTGTCATAAGCCAAATAAGTGTTTTCATGATGTCTCTTTGACTTTTTAAATTTAATACATCTGCTGAAATATATGTAAAGGTTGGAACAACCGGTATATGTATAATATCTTAGAACTAAAACCAGTCTGATAAAGTCAAATTGCTTAATCAATAGAACCATGCTGAATTATCTTCCTCTTGATTTGCAGGAGTCTGGGTTTAAATATGCACGTCAAATATCATAATCTTGACATGTTGTGGTATATTTAATGTTAAAAAGTCATGAAGAGCTTATAGTTCTTCTAATATAAAGTTCTGCTATTGTTTGAGGGTCTGGATGGGGGATCCTTCATTTCTGTATTCTTTTAATTTTTTATGTCATTTTTCTCTATTCTTTATATTTTTTGCCCATTATTCTGCCCCTTTCCCCATTATTCTCTATTCTGTTAACCCCATCCAGACCCTCTTGTGTACTCAAATCCATTTTATTCATCTAGGAAATTTGAAATATACATATTCATTAAAATATTATGTTTTTTCAAACAGCCTCTTTATTTATTTTTCAGGACAAGTTCCAACCCCAATTGCGAGGAAAGTTACTTTTGTCCGATAACAATGGAACCTCAAAGTTACTCCTCTGCTGATCTTTTTGGTAGTGTAGGTATTTTTATCTTTTGCAACAACAGAAAATAGGTTTCTTGTTTGTGTCACAAATTTTATTACAATGGATCTCCTCACTAAATCAAAACGCCTCGATGGCTTTGTGGTAGTGTGCATGGTCGCTTCAAGTGCGGAAGTCGTGGTCTTGATCCTTTGTCGGGTTAAAATATAAAATTCAAATTTGGTAGTGGCTGTTTCACCACCATTATGTATAGCATTTTAGAGAAAAATGCATAGACTGTGTCTGGGTTACTTGTCTTCTTGTGCCTCCCGCTTAATTTGTGAGCATGCACTTCGAAATTCGAACCCACCCTGTTTAATACTAAATAGGGTATATTCATATCACATTAACTTGTTAATATTCTGAGTATGAAAAATATGATATGTTAAAGTACTATATATAAATACACTTGCGCAGTTCTGGATGATTAAAAATGTTAGTTACGACCAGAGCCTTTACCTTCATGGACACATTATTCTGACTTCTAGTCGACCAGTATTTGCTCTTACTGCAAAAAGTCGCGTACTTAGTGGACGGCAAATACCAAATTTTCAAGTCTTTGGAACCGAGCAGGGATAGTAACCACTACTCCCATATTCAAGGCAAGCACTTTACCACAAGATTAAACAGGCGGTCACGCAGTATTCGTGGTTATTAAGTTATATATGTCTTGTTTGTAAAAGTATATAACACAAGCTTTGTTTACCCGTTCTTACAGAATGTCAACACAATATTAAAGTCATTTGAACAAAAGACGTTTCGTCACTGTCCATACATTGAAATTCATGAATGCAATTCTTCTAAAAGCAGCGTTGCAATTTCGGATGAATTTGACTGCATCGTGAAGACATCTTGTTTAGGCTTCCACACGTTTGACTGTTTTGTGCATTTGAGTACCCAAAGTTTTATTCTCAAGCTTATCTGGTGAGAAACTTGTAATGTAATGCGTACTGAAATTTGTGTTATGAATTTCTATTGGCAGTAAACTAACTAGGGCCTTCTAAGGGCTTATATGAATAAAATAATCTACTTTTGATTTAATTTTGTAGGGTTTCAATGGGTATGGAACGTCTCATCAAAAACCAATAGAACAAGAAGTAAGAGCTCTTCAAGCAGACCATGTCAGTGAACCCATGAATCTTGACAGCTTTAGAAATATACACTCTCATGCATAGGAATGATTTTTCATTGTTATCATGTAATTTATATCAAGCATTTCACATATTTTCAATATGTCTATATAAATGTGTCCTTGTTTGGTCATCGTTTGGCTATCTCATGTGGATTCGAATATTGTTTCAAGGTTTTCAACTCGCATGGTTTATACAAATTTTAACTTCAAAAGTTCAATTATACAGGTCCGTGTCGAGAAAAAAAAATGAACCGGACAAACTCAATATCGATAATTCATGTGGTCCTTGTTCACATTAGATTTGATTGACGTCTCTGTTACAAAAAGCAAGCAAGGCGACGAATAAAATTAGCGAGAGCATATTCATTCCTTCAAAGAAGGCTCAAATTTATATTCACGTGTTAATGAGTGCTGTAAAGATAATGTCCATGTGTTACTTTTTATCATTTCTACATTTGTATATATGCAAAGGAACATGATTTGAACAATTGTGTTTTTAAATGCAAGGAACAAAATATTAATTTAAGTACAAGACCAAGATATGGACCGCAATGTTGATAAGACACTCGACTGTTGACATATACAGTAAAAAACACTAATCACTTATACTGTATGATCTTGTCAAATTCAGGAAAGTTCAAACTTGATATTCGAATATAAAGTTGTATGAAAGATGAACAATTTTTAACATGAATGTTAATTTTTCCTTTGATCTTCGAGTGAGTTTAATTCTGTTATTTTTAGAGGAGTGCGTTAACTGAATGATATTTTTTAGCTATTGCGATCACCAATCCCGCCGTGTGTCGCTTGTCATATGAAAAGCAAAGAATGGGAGGAGCTTAGACCAGTGATCTAACTTCCATCTATGAAGTTGTTATTTCACTGTCTGGCTCCGCTTCCTTGGCCTAGTAAACAATGAAATCAATGACCATAAAATATCCTAATTAATGAAAATAAAATGCATACACAACAATTTATCAAAAACTAAATTTGGGAAAGAGGGGGGGGGGGGGGCTTACTCTAACACTAGCCAAACTTGTAAACCTAACCCTAAATTAAAAATGGTTCCATAAACTTGAAACAAATTAACGCCCGAGGAGTGCTACAAAAAGGAAAAAAAGTTGTCTACAAACAAAGAGGCGATATTGATAAATTGGTGGATACTAGTTTTTCCTATTTTTAGCCTTCTTATCACAACTTTCAACACTTCTAATACTACACGTCCTATTGGGTTTGAAAGCAGGGAGCATGGTATACATCGAACAAGATGTTGCATCTATCCCCTCAAGAATTTGTATGGGGAAAGGTGGTGGGGGCACTTCAATAACACATAAATCGCTCTCCAGTCTTTAAACCTTGATGAAATCAAATCCTACTGAAAAAATCTGACCCAGGAGTTCATTTTCTGAAAATAAGAGACGTTTTGTCATATGAAAGCTCCACTATTTTTTTGACATATTTAATTCAAGAAAAGTACAGTTAAGTATAACCTTTGACATGTGTCAACGCCCATTAATGTTACAAATCATATATAGGCACGCCTTACTCATTAACATATTTGATTATAGAATTTAATACGTTAATTCGTAAAATGCATGCTATATATATATATATAACTTGTAACATTGCATTACTGATAGACAGTAAGTAAGAAAGGCACAAAATGTGGTTAAATACACAAAAAGGGGAGTTGTGTTTCAGCAATTTACCGCACTGAACATTTGTATATATATTCTTGTATTATGCTAACATGAAACTTTCTATAACTTTTATATCTCTTTTCTTACTAAAAAACTATATTTAAAAATCTTCCCTCGGATTTGTCTGTCCAATTGAATATTTGCAATTGAATTGTGTTGCTGTTAAAGATTGTTTAACAAGTAAGGTGTGAATTCACATTCGAAGATCAACGTTCATCCATTTCGTAGAATTATTTTGCAGGCAAAACTGCAATTCATTATCATAAAGGCAGCATTTTGAATAAAAAAATTAGTGCTCTACCTTTAAGTTTAAGATTTATTATCTATAATATTATTTTACATCTTTTCTACACTTTTATTTATTGACTGTTACTATTTAATGTTTACCAAAAACTTGTGTGATTTTTTGTTACAATTTCTGGTATTTTTGTGATATTTTGTTTCTATAGGACATGGAGTTTGATACAAACCAGAAATGTTCTTATTTGACCACATAATATTAAACTATTTAACTATTTAAAAAGTTCAACAAGCAATACATTAATTTACTAAAAAATTAATCAAATACGAACAGAATTTTTTTTTATTTATAAATAGGTCAGTATTTATTTGTCAAGTATAATTCCAACTGAATCCCTCATTAATAAAATAGACGATTGTGGGTCAAAAGGTCACGCGATTTAACGGAAGTTTTAAATCCCCATTATATATTAAATGTTCAATAGAGAAGGATTTTCAACAAGATATATAAATTAGGGTACAAAATGTTTAAAAATCAATCACTGTGATATTTTATACACTTTATTGTCTTGTATTTTTTGTTACTTTTAAGCTAAATTATATAAGATTGTTTAAAGATTGGTTGCTTGAACAATCGACAAGGAGATCAATAGTATAGTTTTTTTTTTAAAGTTATTTTTGTCGAATAAACATAATTTTTTTTAATGTTTTACGGATATGCATATTTTCTATTCAAATATTCCCACCGAAACACGTGTTTCTTTATGTAACATTTAATATAGAAATAAGAACATGTGGTATGATTGCCAATGTGAAATCTCTCTATCGGAGATTGACCAAATGACGTAGGACTACAAATGAGTGCTTACATATAGAAAGCATCACGGATTAATACATTTTGATTGTAATAAAACAATTTTCAAAAACTTTCAGAAATTAAAAATTTGACAGGTTTTTTTTTCATTTTAGCTGAATATCAATTACTCAATAAAACTAAAGCAATGTTTCTATTCTTAGTTTAACAAAATTTGCAATACAATTTATGAGAAAAGGCATGACATTTTGGCGTTGCAATTCAAGGACTGTATGCTGTTAGATAGTACTCGGCAAATTAATTGAAATATGAGGGTTAAAGTGCATGGATATTGATTCATTTATATAAGAGGGTATCGATGGGTTTACAGAATAAAGCATACTGGGCAAAAAATTAAAGAATAGAGAAAAATGGGCAAAAGTCTAAAGCATTGAGAATAATTGGCTTACATATAAAGAATACAGAGAAAAAAAAATTAAGAATAGAGAAAAATGTCCCAAAAAGTTATAGAATACTGAAATGAATACTCTACATCAAGACTCTCATGAAATGATACCTCATTTTGTTGACATTTAAGCAATAAAGGTATTGAATTGAACACGTTGTAACCTCTATATGGTCATACTGTCATGGAGTCATTTTAGACCTCATTTTATATTTTTTGTGAAAATTTAGTTTTCAGCAAAAAGGAATAAGTTTAAGATATTTTATTTATTTAAAGTCCATTTCGAAGCTGCAGTATTGATTAAAAGTATTTTTGTTTTATATTCGTTCATTATTGTTGAAGGAAATCATTTTTATATTCTCGATATATTTAAGATAAAAAGTTCAAATTTAACAGATATTTACTTTGGCATTTGTCACTTTATATTTTCTCTTTGTTAGGCATTATTTTTTATCAATTTAAGATGTTTAGCGACAAGCTAAGTGGACACAATTAGACATGTTTTTTACTAAGTCTTTTGTCCTTTAAACACAAACAAGTTGTTGTGTTAACAACATATGTCTAGGTAACCTGGTCAATTAGGGTTCTTTGTCCTGTCCAGCAAAGATCTTTCCACGCCCCTTTTACCCCAAATTATCAGGGTAACTAAGTGGCTCGGGTGTTTAACGAATCTGATTGGTCGAACCTGAAACAGTAACGCAAAATCGAACAAGTGAATTTCGGTCTCAAAAGTGGCACTTTCTCATGCGCTTTTGAAGATACAAGTTCTAAAACCTACTTCACTGTGTTTGTTATAACTGTTTTCAGGTGAGTCAAGTATTTTAATTATTCAAAGTTAATATGTTTCTTTCATTATTTTATTCAATTGAATCATGAAACTTCGTAAAGTTTCGTTTCCATTTCATTTAGTAAAGTTGAAGTTAAATATCTATGAGTTCTGCAAGTAAAGAAGTTAAGATCAAATTGTTGTTTCTCGATCAGTGTAAATAGATGTATATATGTTCAAAAAAAGGTTGGTTTATTCTTCACAAACTTTCTGTACTCAAGGGTATTTTTAAACACATTATAGAATTTAGTTTTACGCTCGCATGTTGGAAATGATAATTTTAACTTATCACTTGTTTATACTTAATAAGACTTAAGGTCAGTTCTGCAAGGGTAAGATGTCAATTATTTTAATAAACGCTTTATGCGTAATTTCCACATGTGTAGGCTAATTTAATAAGAAATTATTTATCGTAAACTATTCTTGTTGTTTAGCCCTATATTATTACGAGTCATGAATTTTTGATACAAAGCAAGCATATATATTTTAAAAGCTAGTTTCCCCATTTCATATTATATTGTTTAATATTTATATTATTTGAATATTCACGATTAGTTTCGTAATGCTAAGTTTGTCTCGATTTCGAATATTTCTCAACCAATGCTCATCGTCGGAATTGATAATTTTTGGGTTAATAGGTTTTTATATAGTTTAAGTTTTTACAAGCGCAATATATGCTCTACCATGATTATAATTCGAAAGATAAAAGAATTCAACATGTTTATTCATGTCCATTGTGAAGATACTATGCATTCAATACTTTATGCTGTTCAGCACATGCTTTATGCTCCGTTAGGTTCAAATATTAGGTCTTGCATTATGCTCATACATTTAAGATTTAGTCCGCATCTTGCTCATATATTTGAATGCTAAATAAGCTTTTATTTATAAGAAATATTATCAGCATCCGTGTTCGTCAGTTAAAATGCATATGCTCATGCATTAACGTAAAGTTTGTATACCAAAGATATTAATTGATCAATTATATTGTAAAATCGTATGAATTATATGTTTCTATTATTTGCATTATATACTATTATATTGTTATTAATTATATGACTTTCTCATGCGCTTTTGAAGATACAAGTTCTAAAACCTACTTCACTGTGTTTGTTATAACTGTTTTCAGGCCCTTACTCATTCCCCTAAGTCCGTAAGGTGTGCTGTTGGTTAAGTCCAACCATAACAGTCAAACAACAGGCCATACAACCCAGAAACCCAATTCTGATAACTGGCGGAGACCCTTAAGATCAAGAATACGGTACTTGATAACTAGACAAGAGAAATATGATCTACACAGTATCGAACCAGACAACAAATACGTTCAGAGTAGCAGACTCAAGAATGAAGTTCATAGTCAAAGTCAAACAAAGAAAAGTTAATCATCGTGCGAAAACTAAAGACGTGGCGTATGAATAAAACCATCAACATTACAACACACAGTTAGAATGTCCGGAGACACTGTACATAGGAAAGAAAGTTTCAATTCAAGATAAGTTAAACAACGGTTGAAAAATACATAACTATAATACAGATACACGCAATTCCCCCCGGAAACAGCAAAGCAAGACAAGAAACAGATTTATCGTGCGGTGATATCATGAAGAATGCGTTACCTACACAATTCAAGCTATAGATTCATACTCATTTACGTTGACATTTATACTTTAATTCAGTTAATTCAATATTATTGTCGTATAAATAGAAATATTTGCCACTGGACGTTAAGAAACCAACAATATATCAATCGTTTGATGATCAACATGTTTCAGTTATTATAAATGTATGTATGCATATTCTGCTAAAAAAAAAATATTCATAATTGTTTCTTTAGACAAAATTACTCATTTATACAAGTTAATGCTCATTTTATAAGTTAGATCTGATGTATTTAAGTTTTACACATGTATGTAAGTACTTATATTTTTGGTTCGTACTCAAGTTTATGAATGGTTCTCATAAGTTAATGTATATAGAAGAAAATATGACAAGGTCAGTATGTGTTGTAAAAGATTATCGGTAGAAACATAATTTTTACTGCTACAGCCAATGACGTCTAATTCTTGCTTTTTAATACAGAGCTTGTAGAATCAGGTGTACTCGATAAGTGCCCATTATTGAATAAATACTCATAATTTTTAAGGTCCGTACTTATTGCAATTCATTTTGAAATGGAGAAATCAGTAACTCAGTGATTCATATAGAATTGATCAGTAATATTTTACTACTGTATGTTTCAGATGCTGTTGTTATGTTCTTGCATTTTGCTGGCAGAATTATCTGCTCAGACCGCACTTATCACACAAGTACTCATATGCTTATGGTAGTACTCAAATTTTTCAGACTATAGTACATATCTATCATACATACCATATATCTTGAAAGTCAATTTTATGAAAACGTAAGGAAATATTTACTAAAGCTAATCACTATTTCATTACCAATTTGGATTTTTTTTTTCTCACAAGGTGTTTTCAAGTCATTTTATTAACAGTAATGTTGATCATCTGTTAATATTCAGTGCTAGAAATGTATGATCGCGGCATACATTCAAACGACTTGCATTTCATCTTTGTGTTTACAATTTTATTTTTTTTTATTATTTTTACATTTTTGTATGCAAATTTGTGGTGAGTCAGTGTATATTTCAGCGTCCATAATTTGATAGTCATATCGTGCTTTCACAGTTGGTTCAGTGTTGATATTTGTACATCGTTTAGTCAAAATGAGCTTCCAAATCATGATAAAAAAAAAAACAAAAAAAAACAAAAACAAACTTGTTTATGTTCATTTTCGGTATGAAAACACAGAATAATCGTAAACTAGTTGTTGACAATACATACTTTTTTTTATTTATATAACTTAAGTACACAAATGTAATTCATTACTTAACATATTCATCAAAGAATTCATAGTTTACAATATTTTTTCCATATAATAGTTTGCAGACATCTATAGTTAAAAAACTTTTTGTAATCTTAATACTAGTATATGTTTTTTTTAACTACAGTAAAGTAATAATGGCAAAACAATATTTAGTGTTCAGGACTACTGACTGGCTGTTAGTTATGTTGATGTGTTTGTAGATACTTATATATATGTATATGAATTTGTAATTAATCTATGTTTTTATTCTTACAACTCCTACCAATTATTATTATAATCAAGATGTAGAAAGTTCAAGATTTCGGGACGAAATCAGCTGAAGTAGAGGGGAGTTGTCATGGAGTCATTTTAGACCTCATTTTATATTTTTGTGAAAATTTAGTTTTCAGCAAAAAGGAATAAGTTTAAGATATTTTATTTATTTAAAGTCCATTTCGAAGCTGCAGTATTGATTAAAAGTATTTTTGTTTTATATTCGTTCATTTTTGTTGAAGGAAATCATTTTTATATTCTCGATATATTTAAGATAAAAAGTTCAAATTTAACAGAAATTTACTTTGGCATTTGTCACTTTATATTTTCTCTTTGTTAGGCATTATTTTTCATCAATTTAAGATGTTTAGCGACAAGCTAAGTGGACACAATTAGACATGTTTTTTACTAAGTCTTTTGTCCTTTAAACACAAACAAGTTGTTGTGTAAACAACATATGTCTAGGTAACCTGGTGAATTAGGGTTCTTTGTCCTGTCCAGCAAAGATCTTTCCACGCCCCTTTTTACTCCAAATTATCAGGGTAACTAAGTGGCTCGGGTGTTTAACGAATCTGATTGGTCGAACCTGAAACAGTAACGCAAAATCGAACAAGTGAATTTCGGTCTCAAAAGTGGCACTTTCTCATGCGCTTTTGAAGATACAAGTTCTAAAACCTACTTCACTGTGTTTGTTATAACTGTTTTCAGGTGAGTCAAGTATTTTAATTATTCAAAGTTAATATGTTTCTTTCATTATTTTATTCAATTGAATCATGAAACTTCGTAAAGTTTCGTTTCCATTTCATTTAGTAAAGTTGAAGTTAAATATCTATGAGTTCTGCAAGTAAAGAAGTTAAGATCAAATTGTTGTTTCTCGATCAGTGTAAATGGATGTATATATGTTCAAAATAAGGTTGGTTTATTCTTCACAAACTTTCTGTACTCAAGGGTATTTTTAAACGCATTATAGAATTTAGTTTTACGCTCGCATGTTGGAAATGATAATTTTAACTTATCGCTTGTTTATACTTAATAAGACTTAAGGTCAGTTCTGCAAGGGTAAGATGTCAATTATTTTAATAAACGCTTTATGCGTAATTTCCACATGTGTAGGCTAATTTAATAAGAAATTATTTATCGTAAACTATTCTTGTTGTTTAGCCCTATATTATTACGAGTCATGAATTTTTGATACAAAGCAAGCATATATATTTTAAAAGCTAGTTTCCCCATTTCATATTATATTGTTTAATATTTATATTATTTGAATATTCACGATTAGTTTCGTAATGCTAAGTTTGTCTCGATTTCGAATATTTCTCAACCAATGCTCATCGTCGGAATTGATGATTTTTGGGTTAATAGGTTTTTATATAGTTTAAGTTTTTACAAGCTCAATATATGCTCTACCATGATTATAATTCAAAAGATAAAAGAATTCAACATGTTTATTCATGTCCATTGTGAAGATATTATGCATTCAATACTTTATGCTGTTCAGCACATGCTTTATGCTCCGTTAGGTTCAAATATTAGGTCTTGCATTATGCTCATACATTTAAGATTTAGTCCGCATCTTGCTCATATATTTGAATGCTAAATAAGCTTTTATTTATAAGAAATATTATCAGCATCCGTGTTCGTCAGTTAAAATGCATATGCTCATGCATTAACGTAAAGTTTGTAAACCAAAGATATTAATTGATCAATTATATTGTAAAATCATATGAATTATATGTTTCTATTATTTGCATTATATACTATTATATTGTTATTAATTATATGACTTTCTCATGCGCTTTTGAAGATACAAGTTCTAAAACCTACTTCACTGTGTTTGTTATAACTGTTTTCAGGCCCTTACTCATTCCCCTAAGTCCATAAGGTGTGCTGTTGGTTAAGTCCAACCATAACAGTCAAACAACAGGCCATACAACCCAGAGACCCAATTCTGATAATACTATACATATTTATTTTGTTGCTGCAGAAATTATAAGTATGTTTCTAAGCTGTTTGATTAGTCAAACATCTTTGAAATATGACAAAATTGTTTGATTAGTCAATTATTGTATATTAAATTGTATGTGATTGCCTCCGTAGATTGCCTCCGTAGAGTCGTTGAGAAACTGCGACTGCTACCGTATTTCAGGCATCAGTGCGGGGTATTGCGTATAGCTTTCAACTAGCAATAACCACGCCTCGGATAAACCTCATCGGCTATTAAGAGCTGAAACCTTGCAAAGGACAGGATGTAAATGAATATTCTGCAATACAAAATGCAGGAATTAGTTGTGTACAAAAGTAAAACCTATGAGAAAAAAATAAGCATGACTAGCAACAGATGTAAATGAATAGCCAATCTGCCTGCAGCTTCTTAAATTTTATGAAAATGTACTCGTCCGGACTTTCTTTGTAATTCATTAAGACCTGGAGCTGATTTTGGTACATTAGTGTATAATGCATGGTTATGCATTTTTTAACTTTAAAACTACAAGCGGTGACATTCGTATCATACGGACACATTTATTGTGTTGTATTTTTTGCAAAGTTTAAGTCGTCCTTAACTCGCATGAAATATTTGCTACTGGACGTAAAGCAAACAACAACCAATCAAACCTAAAGTTCAAAAACCAACGAATCTATATAATTTTTTTCTTATTTTGGAATCCGAATTTTATTTCTAAATCAAGTTCGAGATCACTATTTTGTAACCTTCTTGAATTCCAAAAATGCGATTAAAAAATTCGGTGCTTTCCATACAGTCATGCTTTTTCTTTTTAATGTATATGTGTGTGTATCTTAACTAGGCAAACAATCAAAACTGTAAACAATAACGAAAAAGTAATTTCTTAACTAGACTGTTTCTGACAATCGTCGTCTACCGTTAACAACCATTGGGATATGATGATTGCTTCCATAAAAGTACAACACGTAGATGATATTAATTTGTAGACGAAACGCGCGTCTGGCGTATTAAATTATAATCCTGGTACCTTTGATAACTATTAACGTCGTATAATGGAAGACAACATGCGAAGAAATATGTCACACTGTACATTTGCGACAGGTGATCAGACAAATTAATTCAGAAATTTAACTATTAAAAGATTTGTAATTGATTTGTGAGTTTTATATATAGTTATATATAGAAATAAGAAGATGTGGTATGAGTGCCAATGAGACAACAAACTTCGTTTGCAAGTTAACACGTCATAGAAAAAAGTTCGGTCTGAGATTTGAAGACAATATTTTTTTCTCTGAAATATGAGTATGGAAATCTTAAATAAAGTTAAGGTTTTTGTATTTCACTAATTAACTGAAAGAATGGTTTAATTTAAAGTTCCTGCAGAAGTTTTTCTCCCAGTATTCACATATCATATTGGTATCGTAAAGATATAGAAGCCACATAATAATATGTGATTGGTCATTCTAATGCAACATTGTATGCAATGTTCATTTTGATCGGATAACGCCTCAATTTTGAGGGCATCAATTCCACTATTGATGAGCTGAAATTTTTCGCGCAAATGCAGCCTGTCGTGTGACTGATTTTTAAGTTTGTGATTTAGCATTGTTCTCTTTCAGTAGCATTATAATGGAGATAATAGTATTGTATTTGAAGATTTTCGGGCCTCAATTGGATATTTGATGGTCGAAAATATCTGTTTACTGGCTCCGTATGTACATTTAATTAACATATCTACACATATACCTACAGTTTCATAGACATTTATGTAGAAATTAATACATTGTAGTATTATTATATGATATGTAGTTAATACATTTATACTAAATTGAGGTAAATTAAATGGCCTTCCAAATACCGTTTCGATTCCTAACATCACTGAAGAGACATTAATTGTCGAAATCCGGATATGGTGTACAAATTTTTGCACCTTATGTTTGCGGTATACCATCTTTTCCGCAAGTTTATTGTTTTCTGTTTGGTAATTAATTAATAATAAGATCTATTTTGTTACATCTTGTGATCCGTTTATTTGGCAATCGCCAATGGCAGTCAACAGGGTTTAAGAACATCAGTTGTTCGACCTGGTAGTCAAATGCGTTTTGTTAAAATATACTTTTTCACTCATTTGGTCTTTTGGAAAATGTTGTTAGTGCTGTATTTAGACCCCTCTACCAAGAAATTTGTTTTGCATGCACACGTATAAAAATTGCGGTTTTTATCCAACGCAATCATAGGTTTGAACGTTGTTTTCAATTTAGACTTGTTAATACATTAATATATATATATATATATATAAAATTAAAATCTCTGTTATTTAATTTTGATTTAATGAAAATTAAGTTGAAATCAACTTCTTCGTAGGAATACAATCCATTCTGAGAGTTGTATAAATATTAATAAGATAAATATGGCTGTGGGAAGGACAGTAACTACAAAGAAAAAAAATATTCTGTCAATAAATAGCACAACACAATTCCGAGTGTTTATGAATTCACATAAATTTAATGTTGATACTTAGAGATTTAAGATAATTATTTTATTACAGTAATATTCAAACCTAAAAGCATATTTAAAATGAACTATACAGGTTATTTGAACTTTGGTGGATAGTTGTCTCATTGACATTTATACCATATCTTCTTGTTTTTATATACAGGTTATGACGTTTTCCTCAAAATAGGTACCGATATCTTTTAACAATTTTGCCATGAAGAAATGTGTCGATCCTAATACAAAGCTGTGAGAATTAATGTACATGGAATTCTGCTTAAACAATTTCTCGATAATTTTAAAAAGCAAGAATCATGCGAGAGCATCAAAAGTAGAAGAAAAATATCACCAAGGACAAGACATTAAACAAACAAAATGTATTGATGAAGATTTTCATGATTATTATCTTGTTTTAGTTTAAAACTATTTTTCTTATAAGAATATAGATCAATATATTTCAAGGGAGCAACAAAATACCAGTTAAGGGGGCAATATTGTTTTGTTTAGAATTGTATTTGTACCTCTGATTTAAGTGTAATTTCAACTTGATTTATTGTATGTGAGAAATGACATGTGGGTAGTGATACAGCAATCCAACGATAAAAATAGCTGAATGTATGGGTTTTACTCTTGATTAGCAAGGAGAGTGTAAAGTACTGCATTTCATCGCATTCATTCTTCAAAACCTCTCCAGATGATATAATCGTCTATATTATGATCATCTATTAGCACTGAACAAAAACACTCTATATATTTTATTATTATTTATTTTTTTTAAAAGGGGAAAGAGGGGGGCTGTGGACTTTTGATATTTTTCTAGATTTCAATTTAAATTTCAAAGAATTCCATCCTATTTCAATTTCCTTACAATGACAAATGGCCGTTATAGTTAAGAAATTCACAAGTTTGTATAGTGGCTATATTAATGGGGAGATAATCTCTCAGTCACCTACGTAGGGTATACGCATACGGTCTCTCAGATGGATAGACGGATTGGTGTTTAACGTCCAGTGGTAAATGTTACATGCATAGCAGGATGAAAACATGAAATACCTGAATTTTAAGATCTTTTATCGATAATTTACGATGATGTTTACATTTGTCGATAAAATCTGCACCGAAGCACTGAAGAAAAATCTATTCATATTTTAATGTTATTTGTTTTGTTTTCAAGGAGGGGGGGGGACTGTGGAGTTTGGATATTTTGCTAAATATAATGCTCATAGTGCTTTACAATCTATCAAAAACATCAAAAGTAGCATTCATTCTTCAAAACAGATGATGACAATGATGAAATCGTCTGTTTTATAATACTTGATGCATCAAAAATATGTTGTTCGTTTTCACATGTTCAGTCACAACATTCACCTGAAAGGAGGATATATATATATAATTTAGATCAACCTATTAAATGTAGAGTACTTCAATGCACCTCATTTAACCTTAAAGAATGAGATCATTCGGATTGGTGTTTCGCCAAATTGTGTCATCTGATCTTTATCTTTACCTTAAAGAAAAATACATGAATTTTGCAGCATTTAGTGATATGATTCAAAGCTGATTGTTCAGCCAACTATATTATATTATATTGTTGATTATTGCCTCCGTAGAGGCGTTCAGAAATTGCGACTGCTGCCGTATTTCAGGCATCAGCGCGGGGTATTGGGTATAGTTTTCAACTAGCAATAACCACGCCTCGGATAAACCTCATCGGCTATGGTACCGCCACTGCGCAAAGCTAATGAATAATGTACAGTGTACAATGTTTGTTTTAAGGTAGATCATAAGTATATTCTTTTTAAGATAGAATTTTCTTATACTTTGCCAAAAGGAAGATTTTACTATGCTTTTTTCAAAAATATAATAAAAAGTATGGGTCACCGTGCTATTTTCCAAGCTATGAGTCGTTGAAAATTGACTAAATTTGGTTAGATTGTTCATGAAAAAACACATTTGTGTGCATAAAAAAATTTCTATAAGATAAAATTTTGAAATAAATTGTAAGAAGATAGGTTTTATAATATGTTTTAAGAAATAAAAGAAAAAATGGTGTCACCGAATTTGTTTTCTTGCTACAAGTAAAAATAAATAATTCCCTATCAGTCCAGTATATATTTTTTACTAAAAGAGTTATCTCCCCTTAAATGGCTTATTTGAAAAAAAAATGATTCTAAAAACACAAAATTTGATATTTGTTTAAATATTTTAAATAATACAATAAATCACCAAGTTTTCTTTATATAAATAAACAATCTAACCATTAAATTGCAAATCTGTCTCCAAATTTGCACATTTGGGCAAATAACTAGACCATTTTTGTACTGAGATTATACAGTCCAAGATGGCGGTATACCATGAATCTACCTTAAACTACATTTACTTAATCAAAGGTGTGCATGTGACTTTATTCCGTGCAAATGTTTAGTTAACTAATATTGGTCTACCTTTTGTACTTCGCATAAATTTAAATTTCAAAGAATTCCATCCTATTTCAATTTCCTTACAATGACAAATGGCCGTTATAGTTAAGAAATTCACAAGTTTGTATAGTGGCTATATTAATGGGGAGATAATCTCTCAGTCAACTACGTAGGGTATACGCATAAGGTCTCTCAGATGGATGGACGGATTGGTGTTTAACGTCCAGTGGTAAATATTACATGCATAGCAGGATGAGAACATGGAAATACCTGAATTTTAAGATCTTTTATCGATAATTTACGATGATGTTTACATTTGTCGATAAAATCTGCACCGAAGCACTGAAGAAAAATCTATTCATATTTTAATGTTATTGGTTTTTTTTCAAGAAGGGGGGGACTGTGGAGTTTGGATATTTTGCTAAATATAATGCTCATAGTGCTTTACAATCTATCAAAAACATCGACAGTAGCATTTATTCTTCAAAACAGATGATGACAATGATGAAATCGTCTGTTTTATAATGCTTGATGCATCAAAAATATGTTGTTCGTTTTCACATGTTCAGTCACAACACTCACCTGAAAGGAGGATATATATATATATATATATAATTTAGATCAACCTATTAAATGTAGAGTACTTCAATGCACCTCATTTAACCTAAAAGAATGAGATCATGCGGATTGGTGTTTCGCCAAATTGTGTCATCTGATCTTTATCTTTACCTAAAAGAAAAATACATGAATTTTGCAGCATTTAGTGATATGATTCAAAGCTGATTGTTCAGTCAACTATTCTATATTATATTGTTGATTATTGCCTCCGTAGAGGCGTTCAGAAATTGCGACTGCTGCCGTATTTCAGGCATCAGCGCGGGGTATTGGGTATAGTTTTCAACTAGCAATAACCACGCCTCGGATAAACCTCATCGGCTATGGTACCGCCACTGCGCAAAGCTAATGAATAATGTACAGTGTACAATGTTTGTTTTAAACTACATTTACTTAATCAAAGGTGTGCATGTGACTTTATTCCGTGCAAATGTTTAGTTAACTAATATTGGTCTACCTTTTGTACTTCGCATAAATTTAAATTTCAAAGAATTCCATCCTATTTCAATTTCCTTACAATGACAAATGGCCGTTATAGTTAAGAAATTCACAAGTTTGTATAGTGGCTATATTAATGGGGAGATAATCTCTCAGTCAACTACGTAGGGTATACGCATAAGGTCTCTCAGATGGATGGACGGATTGGTGTTTAACGTCCAGTGGTAAATATTACATGCATAGCAGGATGAGAACATGGAAATACCTGAATTTTAAAATCTTTTATCGATAATTTACGATGATGTTTACATTTGTCGATAAAATCTGCACCGAAGCACTGAAGAAAAATCTATTCATATTTTAATGTTATTGGGTTTTTTTCAAGAAGGGGGGGACTGTGGAGTTTGGATATTTTGCTAAATATAATGCTCATAGTGCTTTACAATCTATCAAAAACATCAACAGTAGCATTTATTCTTCAAAACAGATGATGACAATGATGAAATCGTCTGTTTTATAATGCTTGATGCATTAAAAATATGTTGTTCGTTTTCACATGTTCAGTCACAACATTCACCTGAAAGGAGGATATATATATAATTAAGATCAACCTATTAAATGTAGAGTACTTCAATGCACCTCATTTAACCTTAAAGAATGAGATCATTCGGATTGGTGTTTCGCCAAATTGTGTCATCTGATCTTTATCTTTACCTTAAAGAAAAATACATGAATTTTGCAGCATTTAGTGATATGATTCAAAGCTGATTGTTCAGCCAACTATATTATATTATATTGTTGATTATTGCCTCCGTAGAGGCGTTCAGAAATTGCGACTGCTGCCGTATTTCAGGCATCAGCGCGGGGTATTGGGTATAGTTTTCAACTAGCAATAACCACGCCTCGGATAAACCTCATCGGCTATGGTACCGCCACTGCGCAAAGCTAATGAATAATGTACAGTGTACAATGTTTGTTTTAAGGTAGATCATAAGTATATTCTTTTTAAGATAGAATTTTCTTATACTTTGCCAAAAGGAAGATTTTACTATGCTTTTTTCAAAAATATAATAAAAAGTATGGGTCACCGTGCTATTTTCCAAGCTATGAGTCGTTGAAAATTGACTAAATTTGGTTAGATTGTTCATGAAAAAACACATTTGTGTGCATAAAAAAATTTCTATGAGATAAAATTTTGAAATAAATTGTAAGAAGATAGGTTTTATAATATGTTTTAAGAAATAAAAGAAAAAATGGTGTCACCGAATTTGTTTTCTTGCTACAAGTAAAAATAAATAATTCCCTATCAGTCCAGTATATATTTTTTACTAAAAGAGTTATCTCCCCTTGAATGGCTTATTTGAAAAAAAATGATTCTAAAAACACAAAATTTGATATTTGTTTAAATATTTTAAATAATACAATAAATCACCAAGTTTTCTTTATATAAATAAACAATCTAACCATTAAATTGCAAATCTGTCTCCAAATTTGCACATTTGGGCAAATAACTAGACCATTTTTGTACTGAGATTATACAGTCCAAGATGGCGGTATACCATGAATCTACCTTAAACTACATTTACTTAATCAAAGGTGTGCATGTGACTTTATTCCGTGCAAATGTTTAAGTTAACTAATATTGGTCTACCTTTTGTACTTCGCATAAATTTAAATTTCAAAGAATTCCATCCTATTTCAATTTCCTTACAATGACAAATGGCCGTTATAGTTAAGAAATTCACAAGTTTGTATACTGGCTATATTAATGGGGAGATAATCTCTCAGTCAACTACGTAGGGTATACGCATAAGGTCTCTCAGATGGATGGACGGATTGGTGTTTAACGTCCAGTGGTAAATATTACATGCATAGCAGGATGAGAACATGGAAATACCTGAATTTTAAAATCTTTTATCGATAATTTACGATGATGTTTACATTCGTCGATAAAATCTGCACAGAAGCACTGAAGAAAAGAAGGGGGGGACTGTGGAGTTTGGATATTTTGCTAAATATAATGCTCATAGTGCTTTACAATCTATCAAAAACATCGACAGTAGCATTTATTCTTCAAAACAGATGATGACAATGATGAAATCGTCTGTTTTATAATGCTTGATGCATCAAAAATATGTTGTTCGTTTTCACATGTTCAGTCACAACACTCACCTGAAAGGAGGATATATATATATATATATATAATTTAGATCAACCTATTAAATGTAGAGTACTTCAATGCACCTCATTTAACCTAAAAGAATGAGATCATGCGGATTGGTGTTTCGCCAAATTGTGTCATCTGATCTTTATCTTTACCTAAAAGAAAAATACATGAATTTTGCAGCATTTAGTGATATGATTCAAAGCTGATTGTTCAGTCAACTATTCTATATTATATTGTTGATTATTGCCTCCGTAGAGGCGTTCAGAAATTGCGACTGCTGCCGTATTTCAGGCATCAGCGCGGGGTATTGGGTATAGTTTTCAACTAGCAATAACCACGCCTCGGATAAACCTCATCGGCTATGGTACCGCCACTGCGCAAAGCTAATGAATAATGTACAGTGTACAATGTTTGTTTTAAACTACATTTACTTAATCAAAGGTGTGCATGTGACTTTATTCCGTGCAAATGTTTAGTTAACTAATATTGGTCTACCTTTTGTACTTCGCATAAATTTAAATTTCAAAGAATTCCATCCTATTTCAATTTCCTTACAATGACAAATGGCCGTTATAGTTAAGAAATTCACAAGTTTGTATAGTGGCTATATTAATGGGGAGATAATCTCTCAGTCAACTACGTAGGGTATACGCATAAGGTCTCTCAGATGGATGGACGGATTGGTGTTTAACGTCCAGTGGTAAATATTACATGCATAGCAGGATGAGAACATGGAAATACCTGAATTTTAAAATCTTTTATCGATAATTTACGATGATGTTTACATTTGTCGATAAAATCTGCACCGAAGCACTGAAGAAAAATCTATTCATATTTTAATGTTATTGGGTTTTTTTCAAGAAGGGGGGGACTGTGGAGTTTGGATATTTTGCTAAATATAATGCTCATAGTGCTTTACAATCTATCAAAAACATCAACAGTAGCATTTATTCTTCAAAACAGATGATGACAATGATGAAATCGTCTGTTTTATAATGCTTGATGCATCAAAAATATGTTGTTCGTTTTCACATGTTCAGTCACAACATTCACCTGAAAGGAGGATATATATATAATTAAGATCAACCTATTAAATGTAG